ATATGGACCCCCCTTCGCAGATTTGGACCCCCCCCTACCAAACTTTCCTTTAAAGCATCCTTTGTATCATATTTGGTAACTAATTATATTTGCGAGCTTTTTGTCGATGTTCTTTTCAATAGCAACACAACATTTCTCAATAAAGGTAAAAAAAAACCCAGCCATTTCGTTCCAAGTCTACCGCATTTGTTATAGCGAGTCGTACCGTATACGCAAGAAATAGATGTGAACAAACTACTGCATTCGAACTTTTAAAATTGTTACAATAAATCTTTGCTTCTTCTGATGCGAATAAACATTAATACGAAACGTCATAACAATAGTGGAGACTATTGCGTCCACTCACAAGAATAACTCAGTTAGATTTTCTAAAATAATAACATTAAACAGTTTCTGAACAAGAACGAAGAAACTACTCCTACTACAAGTCGTTCGTAAAGCCTATGATAACTAAAAATGTTTCTATTCTGAACTGTTGGAACTCTCAGCTTATTTTCAGATGCAAATCAACATTAATGTCAACGTCTTAACAAAAGTGGAGACCATTAAATCGAACTCAATCTTATTTTCTAATTTTAACAATTATTAACTGTTGAGGGATCCGAAATAACACCTTAACAATCACGAAGACGTCTAGAGTCTGGCGATCTACAGATAATGCAGAGCCACTCGCCCTCCGGGGCAGTCTAAAATCCCTCGCGGCTCATGTGTAACCATTCCTCGCACAACTCGCACTGTACCATGTCGTCCCAACACTCGGGTATTGAACGATGACAAAATAAATTAGTGTCACAAGTTTTTCTCTTATTGAATCTAGCGGTGTTCGACTATCGCGGAAAAGGTTAAAAAACAACCTCTCTCCAGACATCGAAATAATTTCTTGCCCATATTCCCTTGGTCAAAAGAAACATCCGACGGGATGCCAGTTCGTATGCATTCACGATACGCATGTTTTGAATTAAAAACATACTTTAGTAAGCACTGGAACGTAAAGTGTCATCCATTTTTACTAGAACGCTGAGGATGATGTTTTCACTTAGTTTTGTTGGGGGGTCCAAATCTGCTGAGACACCGGCACCACAACCTTAAATGGCAACCCCTCAAATAATTTATGTTGGCTTGAATTTACCATTGCGACAGCCTCTACAGCTTAGAGGAAACACTGCCGTCAACTGGAAACGCTTTCGGCAAGCGTGAAATAACTACGAAATCGCTTCATGCTCCAAGACTCAGGATAAAGAATTTCGCACGGCCACGCTTCTGACTTGTATTGGGCAAGACGCTCTTCAAATATATGATGGCCTGGCATTCGACAATGACGACCAAAGGAAAGACATTGACCTCGTTATTCAAAAACTCGAAGAGTTTTGCGTTGGCACCACCAATGAAATCTACCAACGCTACGTATTCAACAAACGAGATCAAGGAGTCGGCGAATCCATCGGTACGTACGTCGCTTCACTGCGTTCACTTGCGAAAACATGTAATTATGGCGCTCTTTCTGATAATCTGATTAGAGATCGTACGGTTGTGGGTATTCTGGATAAAGGAATCCGAAAGAAGCTTCTTCAAGAAAGTAAGCTAACCCTTTAAAGGTGCATTGATATTTGTTGGGCAAACGAGTGTACGAAGCAGCAGTTGCAAACAATGGATGGGTGTCCGGAAAGCTAAGACCTAAGACCTAAGACCTAAGACCCTGAAAACTAAGACCCTGGTTTTTTTTAGGGGAAATCATCAAATTTCAGCTTCCTTTACCTTTAAGTGGTAAAATCAATAAAATAAATGCACTCACACTTAAAAAATAACAATTTAGTTGTGTTTCTTTTCCGGTATGGCTAGGCTATGGTTTGGCTATGGTTGCCCGAGGAAAAAACAACGGACAACCCAGCCAAAAGTAGGAAATAAATTAATCATAAACTGCACCCGACTTACGTGACGATTTTGTAATGTCAATGTCCGATAGTGTGAAGTTGATAATGATTAAATTGCCACAGCTAAGCATTTCCCTGTGTACTAGATATATGTCAATTTTACAAAACATTGCCCGGTACGAAAATGTTAGAGACAAACAAAAAGTTGTATGTCTGGTGGGGATCAAGATCAAAGACGCCATTTTGAATATGCCATAACTCAAACCCAGACTTCCGCGAAAACCAATGATCCGTTTTAACACAGATGCCACCTGTAAAATTGATATACTCAGAAGCGTCTCAACGGCATCATATGTACGACTATTTCATTCACACAAAACTATGTCCAATGAATAAAGTAGTTGAGCTGTGTTCTTTTTTTAATTATGTTCTTTAATCCGGCTTAATTTTTAAATCTTTATGCGCATTCAAATTGGGCACTTGAGTCAAGATGTCTGAAAACTCAAAAAAAGTAAAACATCACACATTAGTATCACTATCCTTAATAAACTAAGAGTAAAGTGCCTGTACAGTTCGAGCCACGCTTATTTTGTGCAGCAGAAAGTAAAGGCAAAGTTAACATATAATTAAGAGCACCATGAAGACAAAAATGGATCAGCCAGAAGAGGTCCATGTTGTTGATAGGAAGAAACCGAAAGTTGATCAGAGAAATGCTAAGGGCGATCCGCAGAGTGTTAAGCCACATAAACAGATCAACTGCAAGGTCTGTGCAAGGAAACATGAAGAGGAGAAGGAAAAATGTCCAGCGTGGGGAAAAACGTGTGACAAATGTGGCGCAAAAAATAACTTTGCTGTAGTTTTTGGTAAACAGCGACCGCCGCTGAATCGAAAGAAATCTAAAGACAAGCCTTGGGATCAACATCCAAAATCGAAAGTAAATATGGTTTGTCAGGACGAAGAAAGCGACAGTGATGACTACTATTTGGTAGTCGAAACCATTAATTCTGTCTACCAGAAAGAGTCTCCGAAGAAGATTTTCGCTACTATGGTGTTAAAGGAAACTTCAGTAAAATTCCAACTTGATAGCGGGGCAACTGTGAACATCTTACCAGTTGAACTCTACCAACAAGTCCAAAGGGATCCGGAACTGAAGTAATTGAAGAAAACAGGAACTACCCTGGTTATGTTTAACAACTCCGAGCTGAAACCTTTGAGAACTGTCGAGTTCCAGACACGCAACCCCAAGAATGATGAATGTTACTTAATAGAGTACAAAATGGTATCGAAGGGATTCAAGGCACTTCTGGGTGCTCAAGCTGTACAGCAGTTCCGCCTTATGTCAGTCAATATTGACAACATCATGTCTGTATCTGGTGACTCTTCCGATATGTCAAGTGTACTTGTAGACTACAAAGATGTCTTCAAAGGAGAGGACAGGCTAGAATAGATGCTGCACCTGACTTTAGACAAGACTGTGTTGCCTGTGATTTTGCCTGTGAGGAAGGTAACTCTTGCTGTCAAGGAGACTCTTAAAGGAGAACTGAAGCCAAAAATTGAGTTAATTTCTCTCGATAGCCAAAGTGACGAAATTCTCGATTTCAAGCGTTATTTGTGCTAAATGTGTCTTACCTTGGAGAAATATTTCTTTAAAGTTTGTATTTTCGCGCTGTTTCGGCTTTCAAACCGTGGGCACCAATTTTAAATCAGCGGTCTTCCAAATGAGCCTGTGACGTATGTTATGGGGATCACATTAGAACGTGTTATCGTTCAGCTAAGTTTTAATACAAATTGCGTCTTCGTCGACCCTTCGTTATGAGCGGAATAGAACCATTTCAGTTCGAACCAGTTTATCAGCCTGGAGAAGAACCACCTCAGGAAGAGAGTGTAGGACAGGAGGTAGAAGCCCACGAAGAAGACAATACTTCGAGGATGGGAAACACCGAATGGTGTTTGTGCGGCGCTTGTGCGCTTATGCCGGTGGCAAATGAATGTTACTGCTGCCAAGAACTAGAGGAGCTTAATCAAAAGTTCGACAATTCAGGTTTGTACTTATTATGTGATTATTCTCACGAGTATTTTGTTTGAAGCGACCGCTTCTTTGCTAAGAGTGACAAAAGGTGGACAATTGCAAACTCGATCTTAGTTGTAATTGCAATTACATGGTCTGATGGATGAAAATTATTGAAACAGTGAGGGAAATAAAATGTTAAGACTTTTTTCTTCTTGATAGGTGTTAGATGTATAACAGAACATCCGAAATTTGGTATTGTATGCCTGGACACGGATGTTTTGAGCACGGCATTGGTTGCAATCCACAATGCGCGGCTCAATCCAATTCCCGACCCTATCGTCAACAGGTAAACTGTCTTTTTCTTTCTTATTTTGTACGCGTAATTAAGTCAATCGCTTTTGTGACTTTATATCCTCTTGTTCTCTAGAACTTGGCGTTTGGCAGCCTACAGACAATTTACTTGGTGGGCACATGGAGTATTAGGAAAAAAACCGGCGGAGAATCGTGCCAGCATGCGTCGTCACGGCCATACGTAAAACATTTCCTGAAGAGAGTGGTAATTACGTGGGGTTTCGAGAAGCAGATCTGGAACTTTGAACTTTATCCGTAATGTCCTTTAAAAATGATTAGTAACATATCCTTTCCGTGTATAACACCAGAGGCTCTTCTTTCCTTATGTTACGGTTTCTTTCTAAAATTTGCGTGAAATATACAATTACTTATCGAGGATATGAATTACTAACACATTTCTGCATAGTGATTCAGTCAAAAGCCATGCAGAGCCAAACGAATGTCATCCCTACTGCAGTTATTAAATTGTCCACATTGCCAGGGATAGCTGCGTGGCCTGAATGAAATAAACCTCAAACCTACCTTTGATTGCTTTTTGCTACGATGATTGCTTTTATTTTCATTTGATTGTGTTATTGACAAAGTTGTTGTATTTAATTATTCAAAAATACTTCAAAAGTATGATTAGCAATGACATCTGCTTTAGGAGGCCGGGGTTTGCTGGCAATGTTTTCAGGAATGTGTGGTGCTGTGACTGTTGCACTCCTCTCTTGTGGTTTTAAGCATTTTCTCTCTACAATGGCATTAAGCATTGGCTTGAGATGATAATTGGTTGTCTTCTCAAATATGGGCTTCGCCACCCATTCTTTTGTATTTTTTGGAAACACTACCTTGTATTGCAGCTCCCCTTGGTTGGCACCCCTGGATACAGTGGCTTGTTGTCTACCAGTGTTGGCATTATGGTCTAGGGCTGCCAACTGAGTTCGAGCAACCATGCCATTATAAGAGAAGTGCTGCCGTTTGGGCGCATATTTGGTCTGCACACTATGGTACACCTCTAAATTGCCAGTATGACAACTTAGTGTTAGTTGCTGAATGTCCTTCAACAGATTTTTATCGAATACAACCTCCTTCAATGCATTATGAGCAGAGGAGCCAGGCCTAAGCCACCTTTTAGTTCTTGCGATAGCTGGAGGGATTGGTTGGTGGGCACATTCCTCATACAGGTCAGCTAAATCCCAGGAGTGGATATTGGCAGTGTGATAGACAATGGATATCCACTTCTCTCTCAACATCTCCTTGTCTCCCCATATGTTTTGGCACACCACCAAAGGTGGTTTGAGATGGATCTGATCCAGAGAGAGATCAGCACATTCTCTCTTCTTTGCTTTTTTTTTCAGTTAACTTTTTAGTTATACTCTTGGAAAGGTGCCACACATCAAATTGATGATCAACTTCAGGGAAATTTCTTTAAGTTCTTATTCACATAGAGGTAAAGAAGGTTAAAAGAATTCATTATTTAAAGAATAATATCCACAACTTACATATAGTCTATTTGTACTAATTTTGTTCACCTGCTAGTTAACAAGGGACAGGTATAATGTTCCTAGAATTAAAGAATAATCACTTTATTCTGAAACAATTTAATTTTGTTTACCTACTGGTCAAAAATTTTCAGGAGAGATGAAGTACAAAGATGACTCAGAAAAAAAAAAACATGAAACTAGAAGGAATTCCATGGCAGGATATTGTTTTGCTTAAGGAGAAGAAATACTTTTCTGTGAAAATTTAATGTTTCTCAATGGAACCTATTTGGGTGATATCCCTTAAGATATAAATTGTTATTGCCCTCAAACTGCATTCACCTTTCAATTTTTTTTTTGTATCAATCATGCATAAATGATGAGCAGCTTCAAGAGTTTGCAACAACCCAAGCTTTGCAACAACCCAACCCAGTTACAAGAGAGTAATTCGCGATTCACTTACTTCTTTTCTGACTTTCTCTTCTGAACGTTTCTCCGATGAAAGTCGAGGTCTTTTTGATGGTCTCCGATGCGAAAAAACCGTGGGTATTGCACCTGGTTTTAGCGTAGATCTGGGTTTCAAACCAAGAATTTCTGCTTTCAAGTCTCGTTCGTAGCAGTCAGGTGTAAAATGTTCTGAGCACAGCTTGGAGTTTTTCGAAACGATCAGATCCGCTCGTGAGATCTTTGCCAGCCACTGTGATCGTAGAGCTTCATCCCTCGGAAAGCAATGGTAGGATATACCAGTTGTGTACCTCGAGTCGTTGTTACAATCGAACGCCGCGCAGTATACCATTTTTTAGCTCGAAAGTAATCGAAGTAAATATAGCAACGAGGGCTACTCAACCGCCAAGAACAGATAGAAGAATAAACTCAAACAACTCGGGCTTCCGTATTTGTACATCCTTTCTTGCGTAAGCCAAGAATTTAACCTATTATAGAGAACTTATAAACCAAAGTTCAACACGAATTTCAAAATTTTATTTCGTTTTGGACTTCTTGCGACATTGTTAACAGCTTGCGTTATCGTACATGCCATTGCAAAATCCAGACTACAAACGCGTTGCAAACTAATGTTAAAAAAGGTAAATAACAAAATATGGGAAACAGAATGGAAGATGAAATATCTTAAATTACCAGTATGTAAGAAAAATTAAAGTGGAGACCCTATTCCGAAAACATCGAGGTCAATCCAAGTATAAAAGATGCGCCGCACATGATCTGGACACGTAACTACGTTTCAGAGACACAGGGTTACGAAAGCCAAAATATTTTTCTCTTATACAATCCCTGGACAGAAGACCAATTTTCTTATATGAGAGGCGCTTGAATCATTTTTTGCTTCACCTTGCACAATCTTTACTCCTGGAAAACCACAAATTCTTTCCCGCGAGCAAGCCGCAGTCCTGAATTCAACTTGCCTGTTTCTTGCTGTGTTTACCTTCATCCCCATAACCTACGTCACACACTACAAAAAGAACCGCTGACATTCGTGTTCTGAGCCGACGTACCACAGTCAAATGTCGAGCCAATTATCACTAAAAACCCTTCGTTTTCTGGATGAAAACTGTCGTTCGAGGGAAAAAAAATGACGGAAATTTGTTCCATCATACATAAATGTACGATACACGGTGAAAAAAATTACATGAATTTGGACTTCAGTTCTCCTTTAAGAAAGAAATTGACTGCCTTGTAAGTCAAGGAATTCTCAAGCCAGTTGATATTGCGACGGACTGGGTGTCATCAATGGTAGTTGTAATGAAGAGTAATGGGAAAATACGCCTTTGTATAGATCCCAAGCCTCTGAACCAGGCCCTCAAGCGCAACCATTATCCGCTGCCTTTTATTGACAACTTGTTACCAGAGTTGTCCAAAGCGAAAGTCTTTAGCGTAGTAGACACTAAGAACGGTTTTTGGTATGTCCAGTTGGACACTGAGAGGAGCTTCCTCACAACCTTTGGCACCCTATGGGGCCGATACCGTTGGACCAGAATGCCATTCGGTATTTCACCTGCGACAGAAGAGTTTCAACGACGCCTCGACACTGCCTTGGGAGGACTTCAGGGCATTGTACCTATCTTCGATGACATCTTGGTCTTCGGAGTTGGAGAAACCAAAGCAGAAGCCATCGAAAACCATGGCCAGCGACTCCTAGCTCTGTTAGAACGATGCAGCAGCAAAGGAATCAAACTAAACAAAGAGAAATGCAAATTCCACCTGTCTGAATTATCGTTTATGGGCCATGTCATATCTGAAGACGGCTTGAAGGTTGATCCAGCCAAGATCTAAGGAGTTCAAGAGATGCCTACCCCACAGAATGAGCATGATGTGAAGAGACTCCTTGGTATGCTAAATTATCTCCAGAAATTTGCTCCAAATCTTTCTGAAGTCACCGCCCCGATGAGAGAGCTCCTTAGAGAGGAAAACCATTTCAAGGTCGAAGTTTTGAGAGGGTCAAACAACTCATCTCAGAATCTCCTGTATTAAAGTACTTTGATCCCAAGGCAGTCACTGAACTCCAGCGTGATGCATCAGACATGGGTCTGGGTGCATGCCTCATTCAATAGGGTCAACCAGTTGGATACGCATCAAGGGCCATGACCAAAGCAGAAGTTAACTACGCACAAATTGAAAAAGAACTTCTCGCTATTGTATTTGGACTTGAACGATTCGAACAGTATGTCGAAGGAAAACCAGTCAAGATCGAAACAGATCATAGGCCTCCGAAACGTCTGCAACGTATGATGCTGCGACTCCGAAAGTATGATCTCAAAGTCATGTATAAGAAGGGATCTGAGATGTATCTTGCAGATACGCTAAGCAGAGCATTTGTCCAATCGTCCAATTCAGAGGATTCTCGAGGAGATGTAGAGAAGGATACAGAGAGTATCAACATGGTTCAGTACCTTCCGGTGTCTGAGACGACACAGAGTATCATTCGCCCAGCTACAGAAGCAGACCCAGTCATGAAAGAACTGAAGACCTCCAAAAGAGAGGGTTGGCCAGAAGATAAAGACCGCCTTCCAGTAGAAGTCAGGGATTACTTCCCGTTTCGAGAAGAAATGACACACCAGAATGGATTGGTTTTTAAAGGTGAACGGTTAGTTGTACCTGAAAGTGCCAGAGAAGAGATGAAGGCTAAGATTCATGCTAGCCATATAGGTATTCAGGGCTGTCTACGCAGAGCACGAGAAGTGCTGTACTGGCCAGGAATGAACAAAGACATCAAGAACTGCATCGCCCAACGTGTTGTCTGTTACAACCAGCCAGTGGAACAAACCAAAGAACCAATTATCTGGCATGAGATACCAAATCAGATCGTGGGAGAAGATTGCAGTAGACCTGTTTGAGCTAAATGGTAGAGACTACATGATCACTCTTGATTACTTCTCTAGCTTCTTTGAAGTCGATAGTCTCACTACCAAGACAGCTGATGAAGTCATCAGGAAGCTCAAAGCTCATCTAGCCAGACATAGCATACCAGGCCAACTTGTATCCGACAACGGATAGCCATTTGCGTTAGACCAGTGAGTTTGCTCGCACTTACAGCTTTGAACACGTGACAAGCTCCCCTACATATGCCCAGTCAAATGGGAAAGGAGAGAACACCGTCAAGACTGCTAAGTCTCTCCTCGAGAAGGCAGCCAAGTCCAGACGGGACCCATATCTAGCCCTGCTAGATAGGGGAAACACTCCAACAGAAACCCTCAACTCTTCACCAGCTCAGCGTCTGTTCGGGAGAAGAACCAAGACTCTTCTACCCACCTCTAACCAGCTACTGAAGCCAAAAATCCGAAAAATGTTGAGGAGAAGTTAGACTAACGAAGTCTTAGCAGTCTATTTATTAGAACAGAGGTTCTAAGGAACTGAATGAGTTACACCCAGGAGACAGAGTCCGCATTCAGTCGCAACGCTCTCAGCTAGGAAAGAAAAAGGAGTGGACTCCTGCAAAAGTTGAAGGAAAAGTTGACATCCGATCGTACCAGGTCCGAACAGAAGATGAACGAGTGTACAGAAGAAACAGGAGACATCTTAGGCGCACACATGAAGCCGTGTGCGACAGAAAGTCTGATGCCACCCTTACGAGCCGAGCCTAGCCGTCCAAATCACTCAAATAGCGAAGTACCGAGGAAAAGTGCCACTCCCAGTGCAGGCGAGAGTCAGGAAGTACACCCCAAAGTTCCAGTGCAGAAATCACCAGTGAAACATCAAGAACCAGCTTCACTATCCCCACGGGTAGTGACGACACGGAGGGGACGAGTAGTCAAACCCCCGGCGCGTTTTGCGGACTACTAGTCATGAACAGTGAACGGTCGAAAGTCAACGGACAGAACTAATCATAAACAGTGCGCGGTCAAGAGTAAACGAACAGGACTAGTCGCTTCTTTAGTTAATTCTATCTTTATTTTTCAGGAGAGTCGAAGCAAATAATTTTTATCGCAAGAAGGGGAGATGTAACAATATGGATGTGATCGTTAATTCATTTCCGGTCTATGTTACGTCACTAATGCCATGGTAATGCCAGGGTAATGCCATGGTAATGCCGTGGTAATGCAAACTATAGAGTCGAAGCAAATAATTTTTATCGCAAGAAGGGGAGATGTAACAATATGGATGTGATCGTTAATTCATTTCCGGTCTATGTTACGTCACTAATGCCATGGTAATGCCATGGTAATGCCATGGTAATGCCATGGTAATGCAAACTATTGCATGCATAGCATGCATATGTTTGTTAACAATGTGACCAGGATTTAACTGCAATATAATTTAGGCATGAACTTGAAACCTGATTGGATATTAGGAAAATTCAGGTGCTGTTATTTTGATGACTACAGGTGTACTTGAAAAAAACTTATCTAGACAACACATCTTAAGACTTGAATGAAAGTGAACCTCGCAGTAATGTGTACTACTTAGGCAGTAGTGAAAATAAGGCCTGACAAAAAAAAAAACAAAAAAAAAAAATTCAGGCCGTACAGGCCTGAATTTTTTTCAGGCCTTATTTTCACTACTGCCTAAGTAGTGCATATTACTGCGAGGTTCACTTTCATTCACGTCTTTATCCGCAGTTCAAGTATATGACTTTCATATATTCTTAACCATTTATTCATCACTTCACGGGTTTATTTAGAACCAACTTCATGACCAGCTCCCAGTTGGCTTGTTAGCTCAGTTGGTAGAGCGCTGCACCGGTATCGCAGAGGTCATGGATTCAAATCCCGTACAGGCCTGAATTTCACTTTCATTCACGTCTTTATCCGCAGTTCAAGTATCTGACTTTCATATATTCTTAACCACATCTTAAGACTGAGACTTAAGATTCAACACTTGTAAAAAAAACACTGTAAAAATCAAGCTAATTTCACGAAAGTTTGCTGTCTCTGATAAAGTCAAACTGATGATGTTCTACAATCTACAATTTGTGATCCTTTTGTCATTTTTTATGAATCTCAAAATAATTATTTCCTTTCTGATGAGGTCCAATATTTGTGGCCTAGATATGTAAAAACTATATTGTTGAGATATGTTATCTCTATCACAAAGCGATAAAATCCCTATTTAAAAACAACTTGACGTCAATGCTATTCATAATACATAGACATCGCTTTTAAATATGTCCCGGTGCAGCTTCTGGTAGACGGAAAGCATTTAAGTCATCAGATCCAGTTGATGCACTTTGCAACCCACTGCAGAGACCTTCCACGGCGGCATTTCTGTTTTTTGCACTTCCCAAAATTTCTTTCACTAGCTCGTTCAGCTTGTTTTTGTATGTAAACTTTAAATCCTTTGCAAGACTCACACATCCTCCGTTTTCGGTGACTTTAAATATTGAAACTTTTACTTCATCTTCAGTTTGACTGACTGTGATAATGAAAACAACAGATAATTATCACTGTAATATACCTACACTTTCACTCAACAAAACGAGCACTGTGATTGGTTGATTCTTGGTCACGTACCCCTAATCAAATTCAAATGTATCCCGACTGAGATACAATTGTGCAGTTGTTGCCTTCGGGTCCTGACGTTTCTCTCTACTTCGTCTCGGGGAAACATCAGGACTCTCGGGAAAACAAAACGAACTGTTCCCCTCGGGACCATATATTAAGTGTCTTATGGTTCATATCACTCCAAAAGATCTGATGCAAAAATTAAATTAACAGCATCAACAATCATGACCTCAAGTGAGGAGAGGGACTTGAAAAATGTATTTACAAGATGTATCCCGCTTTGCACAACTTTCTGTGACAACTTTTTCCTACAACGACCTCACTCTTGTTATTATGCACTAAATCTCAAAATCATGAGCGTCGTGTCCTGATCCGCTAAAGGACTATGAGGGAACTGCCGCCTTGTGCTTTACCTCAATGTAATGTGCTCGCTTACATTCGCTATAAAATTTCTCGCGCTTAGTATCTGGCGCACTGGCTTAAATAAAACTCTAGTATACTAACCAGTAGGATGCTGACTGAGAAATCCAAAACTCCTACGTAATCACAACTACCGACGGAAAATTGGGTTTTATTTTTTCTGTCATTCACAGTTTCGTTCGTCACGTTTTCACATTTTTCCTAAATAAAAACGTCTTTCATCCTTGAAAGGTTTCTTTGCCTTGCTGACACAATGTCGTGAAAAAATTGACACTGTACCCTAACTGCAGAAGTCAAGATACCGAATAAGAGAAATAATACACATAACAAACTTACTTGGATTAACACCAACCAAGGTGAAAGGGTTTATTACTTTAAGGATAGCTGCTTTTTTACCATGAAAATTAGCGACACCTGATGCAACATCACATGACAGCGGATTAAGGAGAGTAACTGTGAATTTTGTTTGTTCCTAGGGGAAAAAAATGAATAAAATAAAAAATTGAACATTAATAGACTTAACCATCATTGTTAACCATCATACCCTTCATTAAAATAATACAAAATAGTAATGAGAAGGATCATAATATGATAACAATTTAAGTCTAACATTACCTTTGTGTATGCCCAATCAGGATTCATAAACACACGAAGATGGTCATATGAATCTATACATGGCACAAAAAAATTATAGAGTAACTATTTAGATAAAGATTAATGTAAAATACATCATTTTGTGAGAAGCGTTTTAGGGGCAAAGAATTAATAATCATTGACCAAAGTGGAGGTATCTATCCATCATTTTCATCCACAAAGCATTTAATAATTGTTTTAGTATAAACCAAAGAGAAACCAAAAAATTAGTCTATCTCTGTCAGTATATAGAAAATGGTCGGAAAGTAAATTTTTGAGGCGCTATTTGATCTCTTCGGTTTCTCGAAAGGTTGATGCTGCTAGTCAATCATCTCCGAGCCAGTCAATCAGCACGCATGGAAAGCTCTATTTACCAATGTGGTATATACTAAGAAAGGATAACAAGTAAAGGTTTGTCACACTTAAAAGTACGTGTCAAAAAAAAAAAACAGAAAACAAATGCATAGTGTAATCTCACACCAAAGCTTGTAAATTAGCGTCAGCAACTCAATTGTGTGAGCGAGCTACATAATCCCATTTTGCAAACTTACGGCGTGTAGTTATGTCCTTGTCAATTCTTTCTACCTCAAGAAGGTGTTCTCGGAATTGGTCACTTAATCGTCATCCTGTTTCACCAATGTATAACTTTTTGCAATAAGTGCAAGTTATGATTTAGATGACATTGGCGGAGGTGCACGTGAAGTGATTAGTAATCTTAATGGATCTCCTGGGTCTTGACATTTTCTCTACGTTATGATTGAAAGGACACGCTTTATATCGTGCGCGAGAGCCTTTGAAAAAAAAAAAGTTGCCTATGTTTTTGTCGCGTTTGAATCAAATTAGTGAAGGTCGGGAAGAGATATTGCCAGTCTCTGAATCATTTTGAAGTAATGTACAGTTTTTAAGAAAATGTGCCGTTTGTAGTGCTGACTGTCGGTCAATTTGTTGGGCGCGGTGATGGCCCGCTTAAACGAAAGAAACAGGATAGCCACGTTTACCGAAGACCTGACACGTTGCCTCTGATTTGTCGCAAAAATCAGATTCGTCTCTACATAAAAGACTGAGAAACTGCTAAAACGGAATGGAATTCTTGACATTTATTGGATGCGAAGATGAATACAACAAGGAACTATGAGCCTGTAGGTTTGTAGTAAACACTAGTGCATGGTCGTCAATGTAGCGACCGTAGAGATTAGGTTTGGGACCCTTGTATTGATTGCAAAATTGGTGATTGCTAAAACCTACAAAAAGATAGGTACCCATTTTGGTACCCATGGCTAAGCCCTTAGTCTGTTTGTAATAGTTGCCACTAAATGAAAAGCAATTGAGTTCGGCAAAGTAGAGTAGTGGTTCAGAGATAGGTTCTTGACAGTACGTTGATTAAAAAAATGTTTGAGGGCCAGGAGACTTTGGCCATTGAGAATGACTGTATGAATAGACGTAATATCCATTGTGAAAAGAAGTTTGTCTTGGCCAAGAAAATTAAAGGGCGCGTCGGCTATCTTTAAAGTATGATGTTAAAGATTTGACAATAGGGGCCATAATTATGTCATATTAGCTGAAAATAAGTTCGGTGGGACAACTACAGGCAGAGACGATGGGTCGACCTGAGTTGTTAGGTTTCTGGATTTTAGGTAAAAAGTAAATACACAAAGTTCTACGAGTGGTGATGGTGAGCCTTTCTGCAATGGCCGGCAATTCTTGTTCAGCTATAAGATCGTTAATCGTGTTTTTGACTATGTTTTGGTCGCTGAAAGTGAGATCCTTGTCAACTTTTTTCATGAAAAGAGGTGCAACGGTTTATGCACTTGTGTTTAGTACAAACCTACAGACTCGGATAGTCTTCGCATCATCCGTCACTCTCCCACCGACGCAGCACCACAGTTTCTTTGAAACTTACTCCCTTTATTCATACGCCAAAATACACCATACAACTCTAAACTACGCCAAACTAAACAAAACCAGTACAACACATTACACCAAACTACACGTACTTTACTTAACTACAACACACTTCATTAGACTACACCGAACTAAATCTACTTCACCAAACTACACAACTCCACACTACACCACACTATACCACACTACACAACACTACAGCAGACTACACCTACTTCAACAAACTATACCCCTTAATCAAACTACACCACACTACACCAAACTACGCCGCACTACACTACACCGAATTACACCAAACTATTTTCGTGCTTTCAAAACTTTCCGCGTGCTTCAAATCTCAATGAATGCTCCCTGTCGCATGAAATGATTGTTAAGAAAGCGTATGCTTGTATTGATGTTGTGGACGCAATCTAGGTCTTTTAGCTTTGTTTTTCAAACTTTCGCACTAGTATGATATACCTCAACCCTAATATGTTCCTATCTTTTGAAAAAGTTCAAGCGATCCCTATGATCTGATTAATGCTATATTCGCATTCTGTTTATTATCCGTGGCTTGTTGTCAGAACCTTTTAGTGATTCAACTTAAACTTAGTCAGCGAAGTCTCTGTATTTACACATTTTGTTAGAGAAGAAATTTGGTTTTCCTTATTTCTTCATTTTCACTTAACTTGGTTCCATTGTTTTACATCACCTTAACTGTCTTTCAAGAAACAATAAAAAAGCTTTCCAAATACTTTTTGTCACCGAAAATACAGGTGCAAAATGCCCAAGCATAATTTTAGATAAAATGTTGGTAACCGGTCAAGTCACCCGAAAGTCATCTCGCTCTAAGTCATGTCGCCCAAAATTTAAGTCGACCAAAAAAAAACATATTACTTCAAAGATCAGACTCATAGACTGTTAATAAGTTGTTAAATTGAGAGATCTTTATCACTAAAGTGCTGTTTGTTTCCGAAAACACCACGAGGATGATGATCAGAATAGAAATATGTTTGAGTGACAGCTCTAAAAGCGTTGTTCGTTTCTAACAACAAAATGAAGCGCTGTTCAATTGGTATGTACTAGTTTTGTACTCACAGACGTTTCGTAAACTTGAGAAACTTGATTATCCAAGCGGTGTTGGTTTCTAACACCACCATGACGACTTTAACTATACAGAAATCAATCATATGGTCAGAATTTAAATAAGTTTAAGTTACGACTCTATATATCATTATTTGTTTCTGACAACAAAATGAAGCGTAGTTCTTTCCTTGAACAAAATGAAGTGTTTTACTGTTTGTTTGGTATTCACTCGTTTGGTACCCATGGACGTTTCGTACTCTGACTATTTGTACCCAGTGTGAATCGGTTCGTTCCCAACCCCCTGATAGAGTCGCACGCGTCCAAACACTCAGTGATGATCAAAACTCCGCTAAACAGATGTCTATTTTCACCTACGACAAGTAAATAAAAAGTCAAGCAAGTAACATCTACATCAAGTTCTGTTGGGTAAGGTGAGTGTGATATTTTTATGATAACGGTCTATTGTTTGTACCTGTGACTTTTCGACAATAGTAATCTGATGGCATAATTTCCCTTAGGATCAGAATGGGCATAAATTATGAAGTTGTGCTCTTTTCCCTCTTTTCCGATCAAAGAATCTATTAAAAAGGTAAATTGAAAGCATCCCTATCATTCTAAAAAGCTAGCTACAACACAAAATTAATATGAGCTAATCAAAAGAGTAATCATCCTTGTATCGAGTAATTGACAATGAAGTTGCACCACGCCAACAAGCCCTACAGTGTTGCGAATAGGTTGGCGATGAGCTGCTTGTTCAATCGCGGCCTGAAACTCATCGACAAAATTCTTGCGGCTGAGAGCACTCGTAATGACTAGTTTAGCGCTCTCGAAATACTCTCTCAGATCGTAGGTTGATTTAAATGAACATTGTCTATGTTGGTTCGATGTCTTGCTAAAAGTTTGAAACGGGTTGCATTTACAGTGACATTTCACTTTTGAAGGATTGGTAACGTAAGTAAATACACCATAATGGTGTTTCGATAGATTGGTACCTTCAGCGATTTGTAAAAATATGCTTTTTGGGTATTCTTACCAGTGATAAAAAAATCAAGCGACTTGACATATTATTTTGGGCGACTTGACTTATTATTTCGGGCGACATTACTAAAATTTTGGGTGACATGACTCGGGTTCCGGGTGACTTCATCGTTTACCAAAACATCATGTTTTCTGGGAAAATGGAAGTGAACCAAGCTCTTTCATTTTCTTGTGTTAATGATATTTCTTTACAGATTTCAAATTTGAAAATTAAAGATTTTCATTTTGTTTCACAAATTACAGTAAGCGACATCAATTCGTGAACATTAACTTCTAATGAAAACCAAAGATAGCAAATATAATAGCTAGCTGTCTTTGTAAGGGTGCTTATACGTGTACAGTTTCCTCTGCGTTTTGCAACTTAAAAATAAGTAATTTCACCACAGATAAAACCATAGGTTCGTGGAGGTTACATCATGCTCACCTTTAGAAAATCCCCAATCATTTGCACACTCTTTGAAAAAACAGGCTGATGTACATAAGCCTTTGCAACTTTTTAAATACTTACCGTGAGACTTATACACCCTATAATTGGTCGATGAGTCAACACCCAATACGTCATCTGTACTTGAGTCAAATCCAGAGTCTGTCTACACAATTGAAGAAAGATCAAGTGAACTTAAGTATGAAATAGATCAAAAAAACTTTGGAGATATCTTACTTAAGTATGTTCATGAAAACATTTCGCAAACACCTTAACCTGCTTTTTTTTATTAACAGTTATAAGTTCGCTTAGGACTACACTTCAAGATCAAATGTTAAGCGGGTAAGTACGGGTGTGAGCTTTTTTCAGTTTCTTTGCCATTTTTCTATATGATGATATACACTTGAGACATGCATCAGGGTTTTTATAGAGATATTTGAGGAAAGTGTCCAGGTGCAAAAGGCCACTGTGATGGCATGTGAAACAGAGGTAATTAAGTATGGAAAGAGATTTTCCCCACTACAGGGGCCTGGAAGGCTCTGAATAATTTTGAAATTAAAAGGCCAAACTGGTACATTTTAATCCCTGCTGAACATTTTGATTCCTTGTATTTCAGCTTCTATGATTCAAAATTTTTGTTACTTGAAATTTTGCACTTTTATTTATGCAAGTTATTGTAAGTTAAGTTGCTATGGACATTGAGTTTCAACTGTCGTTTAAAAAGAAATGACTCTTAAAATGGGTCGCCAAATATTTCATTTCCTGTGCATACAGGCATGAACTTTGAAATAAATTTTTTTACACATAATGGAAGAAGAATTGAAATATTGAAAGAAATGGCTATGGCCAACAAATTGCTTAGCACATTTCAGGAAATGTGTACAAACTTATACAAGACATTAAATCAAATTGTCTTTTGTTAAGAATACTCAGTATGGTATGCATACAAAGTGTTTATTAAACAGTAGTTTACTGTGTACGTGTCAAGTACTAATAGAGTAGCAATCAATTAAGTTATACAGGTATGTTGGGTATTGATGATGGCACTGCAAGTCATGTTACGTTTAATTTGTAATTTCAGCAATAAAATCTCCTTACATCTTCAAAAGTGGAAAATTGGGCCTAGAAAATCTTATTTCCACTAAGGAGGCAGCAATTAACCCACAATTAATCTTGCCATCTTTGACACAGGGCTACAGGTACATTTTGTACAGTTAATGTATTATATTGTAACACAGTTATGTATCATGATATAATACCTGCCACTGAACACTTGATTCTCCTAGGGGCATTTCCAAAGGAACTCTTCCTGCTCTTTGTACCAACACTCCCTGGGAACTTCCTGCTGTTGCTGGAGATGGCATATCTTGTGGAACTACAATTTCATGCTGTCCTTGTGCAGGACCTTCAGGTGGTTGATTCTGCTGCAAATGTAAAAGTGTTGGAAATGGTAGTTGGCCTGGACTGACAGTTCTTTGCATTGAGGTTTGTGCTCTCAGCAATAACTTCTCCTTACATCTTCAAAAGAGGAAAATTGGGCCCAGAAAATTTTATTTCAACTAAGGAGGCAGCAATTAACCCACAATTACTCTTGTCATCTTTGACACAGTGTTATAGGTACATTTTGTACAGCTGATGTATTATATTGTAATAAAATTATGTATCATGATATAATACCTGCAACTGAACACTTGATTCTTGTGAGGGCATTTCTAAAGGAACTCTTCCTGCTCTTTTCACCAACACTCCCTTGGAAATTCCAGCTGTTGCATCAATTTGTGGAATCACAAGTTCATGCTTTCCTTGTACAGAACCTTCAGGTGGCTGATTCTGCTTTTCAGGTAAAAGCATTTGAGATGGTTCTAGGCTTGGACTCACAGTTCTTGGCACTGAGGTTTGTGTTGCTGGAAAATGCTGGGGCTGTACTGGAGCTGGAGCTGCTGTTGTTACTTTACGCAATGGAGTTTGAAGCGTAGTCTGATTTATTGCCCACCCATCTGTAAAATCATTCCCCTTTTTACGCTTTACTGAGGGTGAAACAACTGGCTGTACCATAGGTAATCTCAGCTGTGCATCTTGATCATTTTTTCTTTTATTGTGCACACTTTTCTGATTTGAGTGTGATGGCAAAGATGTTAAGTATTCACTGGCTACAGGAGAGACTTCCCCTAAATTAGGAAGAAATCTCAGTCAACTTAAATTAATTTTTACTTTATATTTTATGGGATGGCCTGCTAAATTTAAGAGTCCCAATTGAATTCTCTCCCTTCTATTTGAAACCAGAGATATAACCTGCACTGTAAGTTACAGAACCTTGTTTTTTCCGCTCAAATTTCTTACCTGTGTGCTTTGCACTTGGGCTATAAATCAGAGCAGAATAAACTTGGTCCATAGATTGATTTGAAGTAAGGACCTTGAGATCGGTCATCACCTACTTTTCAGTAAAAATAACCTAATTTTTGAGATATTATATTTTTGTGGCTAGCCACTATTAATAGTAAATTCAAATAAATGGCCTCACTCACCAATGTGGAACAGTTATTATTAGGGGCAGATATACCAGGAAACGTACTTAAAGACTTTTTTAAAAATTTATTAAATTGTGACTCCTACCGACTGAATGACTGGCCTGTTCATCAGTTGGCTCTTGTAACGCTTTTGATAAGTCATCAGCCTTCATCTGTAAAAGAGACACCCATTGTAAATAATTTAGCAGCATAAGGTGCAGTGTCTCTTAATGTGGAAAATAATTCCTTTAAGAGTGGTCTGTAAAACCCAGCAAGCAAACGCTTAATGTGTATTCTTGATGACTGTGAAAATCTGTATCACTCACAATAAAGTGAAAGTAACATTAAACCAACAGCTATGTTATTGAGGAGAAAATTACAATGGAAGCCTTTATAAGTAGGTTCCTACAGGGTATAAAAAAAGTTATTTGTAACCAGAGCTGGCAGTTTCCAAGAATGCCTTTGCTCTTACAGGCCTGGGTTAATTATAAGTAATAGAAACAGGGTCGCTGATTAGAGTTGTTTAGTTAACTTGACCACTTCTATCCAAAAATTTTTCATTATTGTTAGTAGTGAAAGTAATTTAGGTAATACAGGTCTACTAGTCCACTGACTTTTTTTACATAAACTTTTCCCGCTATAATTTTCTCAAACCTGGGTTAGGATGTATAAAGTTGAATTTCCTCTTATCCTTCTTTTAATACACACTCCATTCCAAATTCTCTGCGAACCATGAAACTCAAGACTTTTACGATTGTCAACTGCAGAAGCACACCAGAAACTGGATATAGAGATGAATAAAATTTATGGTTAAAATTGAAATTAAAATCATGTTAATTCATTAAAAATACACAAAAAACATATATTCACAATACATGTTTACATACAGTCAGATAATATATTTTGTATTAACATTTAAACTCTTGCATAAGAGACCTCCTTTTGTCTGCTGTCAGTTAAATAGAGATCAGAACTTTATTGTTTCTTTTAAAACATTTATGAGGGGGACATTGAAGGATACTAAACACCATAATACTACTAAAAGAATTCAGCCAATATCACAAGGAAAAAAAACGATGAATACTGCAATACTCCGATACACTGTTGTAGCCTGATGTATAGAGCAAAATTAATGACAAGGAAATGGCAAGTAAGAATTTGTAAATGAATGCTATGTATGTTAGGTTGTTTTCAATTCAGGCAAAATCAACAAAATAAGTAACATCCATTGAGGTGTTGGCTAATAAACAACAAAAAATCATGAATGGATTAGACAACTGTCAAGTTGTTCAAAGTTGTTTTTCAGCCTATTTACAAAACAATTGGAAACAAGAAAAGGTTTGGAAAACGGTGGAGGACTTGAAGGATAATTTTTAATACCATCCATAATGCTTTTAAAAAAAACTGCACCTGCAGGCTAGAAGAAAACCGAAATTCGAGATTAAAATTACCACATATTGCAAAAAAATTGTCCAATACCATAGACCCTAATGTCTCCCTCCTTAATATGGAACAAAATATTAGTTGGATGACATGAAATATTCTTAATGTACATGTAAAAAGGAGAGACTGACATACATACATACATACAGAAGAGTGAAGCGATTCACAAAACAGGCTTGTCGGGAAAATGTAGTTGCATCCTTTTTTCCTCTTAAAATATTTATTCCGCTCTGCTTCAAGGTATTGAGCACTGTTCTACGCAAAAATTGACTTACAGACTCCCTACATATATGTATATATATAAAGTGTTTGACTTTCATAAAACAGTGCTCAATACATAGGAGTAGAGCAATGTATATATTGTGGGAGGAAAAAGACAAATAAACTATAAGTTCATCCCTACAGGCCTGTTTTGTGGTTGCCCACTCATCAGTAATATATATATTACGTAAAGACAAAATATATTTTTGTTTGATAAGAATACATTAAATTACAGTATACATTATGAAAAAAATTTGGGAAAAAAAGGTGTTTGAAAACTTCCCTCCTCTTTTCATAGGAACAAAAGAAAAGTCTGTTTAAATTAATTTCAACAGTGTAACACATCAAAATATTCAACAGCTAACTTATGATTAAGAAAAATCAAGTTGGTGGTGTAGGTAAATCCATAGCCCCCAATCAACCAGAAACTTTCAATCAGCTACACCTTTAAATTGTTTTTGACCTTTGTTTGATGAGCATCAACAGCTAGCAGAGCTCTCAACTCTCACGAACTAAGCACGAGACAAACCCAAACAAATTCAATCTTATGCTCTCATGCTGTAACTATTCTTTCTTGTGGATTTAAGGTTTCTGATTACCAATAAAATGTGGATTTTAAGATAGCAAACCACTGCTTTAGTAAAGTACCTAAAAAGTATAGAATTGATTATCCTTCTAAATACAATTTACACCAATTTTTCTAGTTTCGACGAATCACAGCTTTCTCTTGTCAATCTAGGTATCTTCTATACAAACCATATCTTAGGTTAATAAAATGTTCTTTATGCAAGGTGGAGGAGAAGTTTAAGTTTGCTTTTTCTTTTTGGATTTCTGAAATCTTACTGAAGTGGTAAATTTATGTCATACTGACAATTGACTAAAGTTTGCCAATGAATGGGGGATTGCGACACCCTTCACCATCCTTTGCCTGATGAATATCAAATTAACTGAAAAGATAGTACCCTTCTATGTACCTTCACCAAAAAAGAAACCAAGCTCTTTAACCAGTCTACTCAGCTAAGAAAACATATCATCCTTCTCCAAATCAAGCTCCTAGAATGATGCTTATTGGAGCAGTCATTAAGGGTATACTGAAATAAAAGCTAGGCTACCAACTCTCTCAATACAAATAAAAACAAACCTCACTCTTAATATGTACACCTGAGACTTGGAAAAGGCAGCCCTTTTAGCCCATGCCTTCCTGCACAGACTATTACAGGAAGAATCCTGACCCCATACTTAACCTTTTAACTCCCAGAAGTCACTAACATAACTACTCCATAAAATCTCCACACTTTCCAGCAAACAGTTAATAAGAATACTCAAACTCATCAGGTAGAAGTTGTTACCTCAATCTTTCACCTAATTCTTGTCACTAATTTACAAGGAATTGTGTGGCAGCAAGAGGAGAGAATTAACAATCAGATCTCAGGAGTTAAAGGGTTAATATCATCAATCATGCATACCTCTGATCTTTTAAGTATGGAAAATGGGAAATTATTTCTCTCCTCACATCCTCTTCTGTCATCTTCCCAGTAAATAGCACATTGTCGTTAAACTGTCCTTTCTCTTTCTTCCTTAGGGCTCTCTGCCCTGAGAAGTTTGGCAAATAAACCTTCCCATCCCTTTCCTTAACGTCAGAGGATAGCAGCACAACAACACTTTTCCCTTTCTTACTTCCAGAGTTTGATTGTGTCACTTTTGACAGACTGGCCTCCATACTCAAACTAATTCTGGTTGAAAGATGGATATCAAAAATATGATAAAAATTTAAGGCAGTGTTAGTTTAGTGTTAATTTTAAGTATTTAATTAGCATTTGCATATATAAGAGGTTTGGTTCAACTGCTCCACTGCTGAACCAAATTAACAACAAAAGATACCTTAAAATTTATCCTTTAATTTGACTCCTTAATGACTAGCCTCTAATTTCAGAAAAAATTTCCAAACAGCCTCATACTACTGTAAAACAAATCTGTTTTCCTAATGGCAATGAATTGTTTTTTTCATCATTTTCTCTATCCAAGAACTGAATGCATAATGTAGTATGGAGCTGTGTGAAAAATTTTATCCTAATTTCTCCCCACAACATCAGTCCAGAATCAAACATTAAGGTTATGAGAAAAAAAGAAAAGATCACCAACGAAAGAAGCTGTTCTGTTGAAAAAATCCTCCTTGCCAACACCTCAGGAAATGTATAGAGAACAGTATGGAGAATACGCAAACTGATGTTAAGGTGTAAAGGGTTTACACGCACATTTATTATTACGCTTTGTTTCATCCGCTGCCGAGCCTAACGATCCACTAAATGTATAAACCTGAGACCTTTAGATTATGTGTAGATTATTCCTCGTCATTTTATCCACTGCAGGGCCAAACAAGCCAAACGAGCCACTAGATATATGCTCCTTCAAAAGTGGCCATGTATTGTGTAGTTGCTTCTAAGATTACGACAGTATTAGACGAGGTTGCGAGACAAGTAACGTCAACAGAAGGAATTACAACTTAGAGAAATTTGTAGACAGAGATCGAAAGGGTACAGAGGATAGCAAATCGAACAGTCCGCACATTCGATTCTACCTCGGTGATATGTGTACATTTACAGACACGAAGCAAAAAAGAAAAAGATCCATCTCTCTCTCACTGTAACTTTCCGCAAACAACAAAGGTAACATTTTTATTTGAAAGGATATTTCAATAAGATCACAAAAAAACTATAAAAATTGGCAACTTAAATGTTTGGATGTGCAAGGGTTTTCATACTAACCTCTTCTCAGAAACTTGAGGAACACACAACGAGGATTACGAAAATTATGCTCTTTGGTTGGAACTGTAGACGATTCACAAGCTTCTCTGCGAAATTAACCCTCTTCTATGGAAGAGACATAGCTCACGGTTGAATAAGGAACTGATGACGGAAACCCTTGTATGGAATACAGCTAAGAACCTGCGCACTCGCAAAAACGGAACTGGCTTTTCGCACAGATCATTCAGTCTGAAGATAAAAAAAGCAAGACATTGAAAGCAAATTTTTTCTCTCGTAGGTTTTTTGCTTAGCATATGTAAAAAAAAAAACCATGAAAAAAAAATTGGAGTCCTAAAGAGATCTTATTTTGATTTTGAAGTATGTTCGTAGACTGAGAACGAGTTATCCGGTGATGACGCAGCTAAACGGAAGTTGTGGTGTGTAGCGTTGCAGTTGTGTCTTCCGTTGTAGTTATGTCCTCACATATTATAACCAATGGAATGCGGTTTTACTTCTTCCAATCAAAGTGCGTTGTGATCGTGTCTTCTGCGTGTCACTTCCCAACTAGGGGAGGGATACAAAGCAAAAGTGTAAAAAGATCGTTAAGATTTCCGCGCTCGAAGTTTGAGAATTTCTTGACACCTTTTGGGACGCTTCGGATTGGTGAAAGAGTAAGATTCTGGTAGCGTTTTTAAGTGCGAGGTATTTAGGAAATTTTCTTCCATAAGTTGGAAAGCCTAGGAAGACGAGAATTTGACATAGCCTCATGGCTTTCCTTACTTTTCTGTTGGAGCTAGTACAATAAGGTAAGGTTTTCGTTGCACTTCATGCTAGTATTTTTTAAAATTTTAAATATTACAACCATTCTTCAAAGATCGCGTTTAAGTTTTGTGCTAAATTCCAGTAGATTTCATGTAGCTGCATGATACCTGGATTCATTGAATCCTTCTGTGTCGAGGACTGACTTTTTTATTTTGTTTGGGACATTCAACTCCAGATATTACACGATTAAAAACCAGGACAGATCTCGGTGTTTCAATGATCAAAAACTTGTGATTTTCTTCCAGCCTCAATAATTTGTATTATGTTTCATGTAGCAATCTCATAGTGTCTACACTGGTGGCTATTATGGGTACAGTGGAAGACATGTATTCATTGTAAATGTATGGGGCTACGCAAAAATTCAGCTAGGATGTATGGTCGATGTTAAACTTCACATATCCTGGAAAGTTAACTTACAAACTGCCTACACATATGATAAAGATCTGGTCTCTTATAGAGGATAGGGTGCTGGCTCCTAACACTCTGCAGCAAGTAACAGTTGGGTCATCATTCTCTTTGCTCACCCAGAAGGGCAGAAATTTGCAGCAAAATTACTCGTCACTTAATAATATGTGCTTTTCTATTTAAATCAGTGGCTGACGTATGCCACTTTCTTTCTTTTGATCTATTTAGAATAAAGCCCCTTGAACTAAATTATGAGGAATACCACAGTGATATGTATTTTGTTACCACATTTTACATACTTTTTCAATTGTGTGTTACAAACATTAAAGTGAAATAAATACTAATTCTTGTACAGATGAATACTTAATTCAATACAGACTATTGCCCATTACTAGCGATTATTGCTCCTACACTTGTTAGCAAGAACTTGGTCTTGTTGGCGTTCATTGTGAGTGTTTGGTAATCCATATATCAATGGAGACACTCTCTGCAACTATCTTTGTGAAGAAAATACCAATCCTTTCACCCTTACTCAATATCATTCATACGGGCATGGATGAGAACCAGCAGCAAAGCAAAGTAAACAAAAGTGCAGATGAAAGGTATCTGTTGTGCTTAATTTTTGTCCTTGGTGTAAAAATCAGTTTCCTTTGGTTTTGTTAATGATAGGAATGAAAAATGCATTTTGTGTAAAGAAAGATAAAATTTAGCTCCTAGCCTAAGTTATTGTGAGATGATATGTCACTATAAATTTGGCCTCTTTTAAAAGTAGAAGAATAAACTAAAGATAAAACTAAACCACTGCAACATCATCTACAAGACAACATTACTATGTATATAATGTTTATATAGTTCATTATGTAAAAGCTACTCTATTCATTAAATCAGTGTCAACACTCTCCCTCACTCTCCCTTGTAGCAGATATAATGTTTAGCCAACTTGAGAAATAGTGGCCTAAAATGGACCCTTTTGGACATCCAAACTTTTAAATTTCCAGGGAAAGGTTCCCCAGACTTTGCTATCCAAGTGGGAATAAATGGCTGCCACACTGTCATTTTTGTCCCTCCCAGCTGCTCAAATGTTGTCCCTCCTTTCCACAATCTTACCAAAGCCCCCATATGTGTAGTAATAAAAACATTGAAGTGTAGTGTGCTATCTCACCAAGAGATGATAATCATGCACACTTTTAAGTGAGTCATCCTAGCAGATGTTTGGTGAGGTATTGCATTCTGTGCTCAAAATCTAGTTCACATAGACCTGGGGAAAAAGAATAGGGTGTAATAGTCAGGTCGGTGAATTGCCACAAGCTTTAGTTTGATACCACTACTCATTTGGTTATCTATCTTGCCAGTACTCTTTCTGGTTATTTTTTCAGGGGGGTAGTTTTTTTATTTTTGAATTAGGGTTCTAGCCTAAGTATGTCTAAGTTTCTACACTTGTTGTTTAGTCTTTTGATTTCTTGCTTTAGGAAGTGAGGTAAAATTGTTTGAATTTGTTTTTTTGTTACAGCCACTTGAGTCTGTAAATGGAAATAAAACACATAAAAATGATGGTAAGGAACATGTTATTTGCACTATAAAGTACTGAAAGTAATTTGTAACTCTCCACATTTGTTATTTACAATTGATATGCTTTGTGCAGCTGTTGTGTGATAAGTGAAGAAGTTAACTGTATTTTAAAAATTAAATCACTTTAAACTGCAGCGAAAGCTATTACTTTTATAGTTATAAAAGTATCAAAGGTAACCTCTCTGAGAACCTTCCCTAGTGTCTGTGTTATAGAGGTATCCACTAAATATAGGTTAATTTATTAAGAAATGTGGGAAGAATAGTATGCAACTGAATGATGCAAGTTTCAGCCAGTTGAGGGTTCTTGCATTTTTTATTGTGGTGCTAATGGTGTCTCAGTCAATTGCTAACTTAGTATTTATGTACTAGTTGTGGTTGTTGATTATTTGACTTTCCCTAAAAGTTTTTTATCAGTGGAGCTAAAAGAAAAAGTTTGTGAGGCCATGCTTTAAAAAAATGACAGGAAGGCCTTAAGAGCTTACTTAGATCTTTATGAAGATGGAGGGTTATTTTATTGGCAGTTACATGGTCATTACAGGTTGCCAGGGCCACTTACTAGGAGTAGATTTATAAGTTAAAAACACTACATTTGAGCTCAAATTTTACACAGACATTATTCAGGTATGATGGAAATTTAAAAGCACATTCTTGTCTCATTCATAAGCGATGCTACATACTCCACAGGTGTCAAATTTATTAAATTTTGTGTTCAAAATTACTGTTGGCCTTGATATTTTTAACATTATGTAACATTTAACATTGAAGAAATGTAAAATGGTTTCCATGTTTACATAGCCTGATGTAAACACGCGGGAGGTTGGGAGAACATGAGATAAGCGTAGGAAACCACCACGCGAAGCGGAGTGGTTTCCAGCTTATCAAGTTTCTTTTATAAAATAACTAATGAAAGAGCCTCTTCTTGCAACAAAGGAAAGCAACATGCTTGTTGTTGTTGTTCATTTGGCTTTTCAGCCGTTTCTTGAATACTGGGAAAATTAAACTCCGAAGAAAAATTAGGAAAATCTTCTTCTTCTTCTATTACTGTACTCAAAACAAACTTAAAGAAACTGAGTTACTGCTAAATAAATAGCAGGGAGAACTCCGTGAGAAGATTCAGTATGAAAACCATGTTTACATACGCTCATGTAAAATGGTTTTATGGCCAATCAGAGCGCGCATACTATTTGAATTATTTTATAATATATAACATTGTTTTTAACAAACAATAAAATTTTTTGGTTTGATCTGAGCAATTAAAAACATTATTGTCTTGTTTCCAAGGTTTCCAAGGAAGGTTTCTTCACTTCATGCCTGGGTCCTTATGTACATTATTCTGTTTTACGGAAAATAACAGGTAACTCAAGCAGGAAAACTCCAGTCAGCCTAGAGAGGCCAGAAAATAATTGTGCTTAGAAATAACAGTTACCTCCAGCTGGGAAACAAAAATGACAGAACAGCTTGCAGGGGCTGGAAAATACAAGTAAGTACTGTAAAAGAATATTTATTCCTTGCTGGTAATCTCAGAACAGCTGTGTGGGGCTGGAAATTAACAGTACTGGAATACAACAGTTAACTCCTGCTGAGAAACTTAGAACAGCTGAGAGGGGCTGGAAAATAACAGTGCTGGAATACAAGAGTTATCCACTGCTGGAATTCAGAAACAGGAAACTTTTGAATACTATCATGCTAAAATACACTGAGCATGCAATAATACCTTCCATTGCCTCAACTCCAGTTACTTGTAGAAAGGTCATCTCTGAACCATTAAATAGGATCTGCTTTACTAGTTATGTACAGTTTGCAATACATTAATGAAAGAAAAAATCTTAACCCTTTAACCCTAAGAGTGACCAGCCTCTAATTTCTCATTACAAAATCACCCCTGATATCACCCCACATCCCACATGAATCAAGGAAATGACCAACAACTTATAAAGCTCTTGATTTTTAAACAAATTTTCCTTGTCAACAGTTCAGGAAATGTATAGAGAACGGTACGGAGAATATGCCTACTGATGTTAGGGTATAAAGGGTTAATCAGTGAGTGTATGTTAAAGGTAGCAATCATAGATAGCTAGTACTTATTTACAAATACTATATTTTGTTTAGCAGATTGTAGCTTCAATGGATGCCAGAAATATGTTGATGAAAAACTGGCAGATACTGTTTTGTGCATTGTGCTGGTGAAGACAGCAGTGCAAGAATAGGTGGAGATGGAATCAAGAAATGCAAAACAGGAGTGAGTCCATTTAGTACTGGAAAAACCATGGAAGAGGTTTCTGCTGGTTTTGGTGTTGCTTTTCCTGGTGAGTATGAATCAGGAGATTTTGAGGAGGATTATGACGATATGAATGATGATCTATTTGTTCTCCCCCCTCCTCTTTCACCATTAGACATTCAACTACT